ATGCCCCAGACCCAGAACAGTAATGGACACGTAACAGGCACCAAATATATGTGTTTCGCTTTATAAAGCTAGAGAAACAGTAATTTAAAAACTTTCCCAACTTAACCTGTGATTTCCAATTGATTTTTTATAACTGACAAGGATGTTTCTGTCTTAATTAAGGGATACAATTTTCAAAGCTTCTCAAAAAATTAAATTCACTAATTTTTTAAAGAAACATATCATATTTCACCTTGAGAGAAGACCGACTCTTTGTTCCTGCTCTTCCAGGCATCTCACTCCCTAATTATAGTTAATGCTCAAAGGGATTCAAAATACTTTAGTTCATCAAGATAAACTATACATATTCTATATCAAAGCTATTCTGGGCATCTTTTCCAGACATAGAACCAATAGGCCAACAAGTAGCCAGAATTGTTATATGCCTCCTACATCAGGAAGTATCCATCACAGGGATTTAAGACCCTGTGAAGCACCATCAAAGACCTTAATGAGACCTTAGCCCAGGCTGCAACATGGGCAGTTGCACATTTGCCACTCACCCACAGTGAGGAGACTATCACCGAACTTATCGTGCTGTTAAGTTCTTGTATTCTCCACGGATGTTAAGCATTTCATAGCTTTTCCAGTGTCAGTTCATATCTTCCTACATATCACTTCTCTTATAAAGAAAACTTTCAGCAGAGTATTTAATTTGCAAATTAAGTTATGATTCTAAAGAACAGTTTTTGCTTTCCTTTAAAAAAATGGCTCAGAGAAACTTTTTTTAGTTCAGAGTTGTTGCTTTCTAGAACTTTTATTTCTACCAACATGTATCCACCCTCTTTCTATACCATAAAAGAAAATAATTGTGACTGCTTCCATATACTAGGGAGAAGAGTATGACTAATTCAGGTCAAAGACTGAGGGAGGCTTATCTCAGAGAGATAAGCAGAACAGAGAGGTCAACTGTGGGCTTTCACCTCGAAGGCATTGACTGAATCAGCTGTGGGCTTTCACCTTGAAGGCACTGACTGAATCAAACTTGAGCAGCAGTTCCCAGGACCTCAGGAGCCTAAGAGACAATAGATAAATTTAAAGGCTGCACCAAGGCGGGAAGTCTAACTAGAGATCCTTCCCTTGAAGGTGGAATCTCAAAGGGTGACATCTTTTAAGAAGAAAGTAGAAATCACCCATCCCCCACTCCCAGATGCTAGCCAGGTAAATTGTCAGTGTCAAACCTTAATGCTAAGTGAAAGGGTAAAATAATTTTTACCCTTTAAATCCCAGAGGATTTAAAATCACTTGGCAATTCAAAGGAACGAAGGAACTTCTTATAAACATAACAACAGGGATGAATCTCAAAAACACTATGCAGAAAAATTCAAAACCACAAGATGGCTCTCATTTGGGTTTACTAACTAAAATGCTCACTATTTATATGACTCAAGCCAATATTTTTAAGTGGCCCCAGATTGCTAAGCCCTAGAGCAGAGGTCAGCAAACTATTTCAGGTGAAAGGTCAGAGTAAATATTTTAGACTTTGTGGGCCATCCAGTCACTGTTATAACTACTCAGCTCTACTGTTGTGGAACAAAAGCAAACACAGACCATGCATGTGTAAACAAATGCATGTGGCACAATTTTATTTACAAAAACAGGTGGAGGGTAGGATTTAGCCTAAGGGCTGTAGTTTGCTGATTCCTGCTCTAAAGGCCTAAATGAAGATAAAATTCTTTGGATGACAGATCATCATGAAAATTTGCTAAACACACAAAGAAATAAGACTCCATCAATGAGAAGCCACATGAAAAAAAATGACAGCCTTTCAAAAGATTTTGAAATTGTTGGAAAAAATATAAAATTAATAAACATAAGATACTTCAAAACTTATTTAAGTAAGCACATTTTAAAAAATAACTCATGTAAAATGAGAACTATAAAAACTGAAATCAAAAACTCAACGAAAGGACATAACAGCACATTAGATAGAGCTAAAGAGAACTAGTGAAATGGTAAAACTGAAAATTATCTAGAAAGCAAAGAAATGGAAAGATTTTAAAAAGAGATTAAGAGATGTGTAGGATAAAGTGAGAAAGTCTAGTATTTGTTTAATCAGGCTTCTAAAAAGACAGGAAAGAGAAGGAAAAATGGGACAAAGATATTATCTAAAGAAATATCTGAGAACTTTTAAGAACTGATAAAAAATACTAATCCAGATGAGAAGTGAACCAGTCACAAATAATATAAATAACTAGAAATCCACACTAGATACATCATAGTAAATGGTACAATAATAAAAACAATTATCTTAAATATATTTGAAGAAATATTACCTTCAAAAAAGTAATAATTAGACTGGTAGCTGATTTTTCAGTACCAAATGTGGAATGATCTTTAATGTGCTTAGAAAAAAATAATTATTGATCTGAACACAGACTTCTACATCCTGCAAAAACCTTCAAAAATCAGAACAAAATAAATATACTTTCAGAGAAATAAAAATGGAATTTGCCACTAGCAGACTCTCAGTAAGGAAAGTGATCCCAGATGGAAGGATTGAGTGAAAAGAGGTGAGGAATAACAAAGAAAGTGGCAAAAGTGTGCGTAAACATTGACTGTATGAAGTAATGATGATGATGATGATGATGACCACGACAACTTGTGGGATTATATTAGTAATTAAAATGCATAACAGCATACAAATTGACAGGGGGAATGATAGATTCACGTTAGAGGGTCCTCTCATTATTCAGAAGAGGGGAAGGACAGTGATCAATTTTAGACTCTGATAAGTATGCCAGTTGAAATTTATAAGGTGACCACAGAATAAAAATAAGACCACTAACCTCCAATTTAAGTGGAGAAAAAATGGATAAAGTAAAAGTAATAAATCCAAAAGAGGACAAGGAGAGGTTTAAAAAATGGAAGAAAGAGAAAGCACAAAATAAAATAAAAATTAATCCAAATATGTTATTACGCTAAATATAAATGTTGCTCTCATCCACTGTTGATGGGTTGTATAAAATAGTATATAACTTTTTTGGAAACAATGTGGCTGTTTCTACACTAACTCTGAACATGCTCACAACAGACCGTGGAGCAATCCTAATTCCTGCTAAATACACGAACAGGAGAAACTCTCGAGCATGTATGCCGAGAGCCTACACAAGCATGTTCACAACAAAGCTAAAAATAACCCCACTGTCACTGACCGTAAATGGAATAACCAGTTGTGATTTTTTCATATCTTCCAGGATATAGTTGTGTTCTATTTACTGGCCTGGGTAACAAGTTATGCAGATATCTGTTTTTATCATTGCCCTTAATGTATAACCATATACTTTCACATACACTTGTATTTTATAATTTCACAATAAACAAAAAGAAGTGAGAATGAGAGAAGTAAACTGTCAGAGGCATCAGAGCCAGTGAGTGCTAGAGCCACAGTTAGAAAATGTCTTCATGACTCTTTATCTCACCACCTTAACCATTATTCCAAAATCTAACATCAAATACTACTAGCATCAATCCACTGTTGAAAAACAAAAGCAGTTTTTGTCAAGATCCTTACGAGGACCACTAGTTTTTAGTACCAATCCTAGATCCCAACCTCACCCACATCCCATCACAACCAACTCAGGCCTAGCAGGAAGCCATTTAGGTCACTAATACCACATTTCAGAAACATGACTGAGAGCGACTCTGGTCCAGAGGCCGTCCTCATGACCACAACACATCATGTGTAATCATGAGAAACCAACAGTCGGAAACAACATTCTGTTGTTGAAGATATCAATAGAGTGAGCGAAGTACAACATATGAACCGAGGAGACAATGGCAAATCACCAAGTCGAATATGCTTTGGCAAGTCTGCTTACGGAGGAAAACTTTCCTCACAACTGATCCAGGACTGTTTCCCTATGCTCTGGGTATATTTACTGTTTCATCCGTAGCTACTCATCCAATCTTAGGATGTACCAAGATATTTCAGAAACCCTGGGAACTCCTAAAACCAGATGTCTGTAAATATCACAAGACAAAAAGTTGGGATGAAGAAAAGGCTAACTCAAGAGGCTCAACGAATGAATCTGTGCAAGGGTTAGATAAAATCTTTATCTGATGAGACTTTTACAATTACAGAAGACTCAGGAATACTAAATTCTGGGCACAATATTTCAAATAGAAGAGTTCTGGGAAATAAACAAATGTGAATAATATTTGCTTTCTATAAACATTTTCAGTAACGTGGCAATTCCTCAAACAAGTTGAAAACTAGTTGTGCAAGTCAAAGACCTACAAAAGTTCTGATTGAGACAGCATGAGATTTTCTAGCGAATACATGATAGCATTACCAGTTCACAGTGCTCTTATAAAGGTACATTTTATCAGAGTCCAAACAAAACAGCTGTTTGTTGTTCTATCAGCTTTTCTGAGAGTCAGCTAATTAAAAAAGTAGATTCATTCATTCAAGCTATATTGAACATGAAAAGTAAAAAGGACTCATCTTTCTGAGATTTTCAGTCAAGACCACCCCCAGTAGAGGTTTTTTGTTTTGTTTTGTTTGGGTAGGCGGGACAAAACTTAAAGCAAGAAGAAAGGGAAAGGATGGGGGAGTGGGAGTGAGAGCAGCAGAGTAGCTGTCCAGGAAGGTAACTTGTTTACAAATTTTCCTTTGGGATCAAATCCATCTAGCTAGATAAGAATTTATACTGGTAGTGCTGTGCCGGGCCAACTTATAGTCAATTAAGAGACAGTTGCCCAAGTTCACCTGCAAAATAACTAAAGTCTGTGACTTGGCTCAAGATAGAGTCCATAGGGTCAGATAACTAGGTTAAAAAGAAGAGGAAAACAAACCAAAACTAGCACTTCATGTTCTCATTTCCCAGATGTTCTGGTCCAATAAAACCTGACTCTCATTGAAATGAAAAACAAACAATCCTTGTTTGTAATAAGAAAGAATTTAACTTACTCAAAACCAAAAGCAGATAGAGGTGAGGGGGAAATAATGAAAAACACAGTTAGAAATATAGAATTTATTTATATCCATTGTAAGACAGTTTCACATTCTATACATGGTTACCAGAAGAGATATAACACTCTCAGACTTTAAGATGGTATTATATTGCTATCAAACATTGCTTATGCTGTGTGAGTCGGGAAACACTTATTTTCCCCTTTAAAAAATTTAAGGCTCAGTTTCCAAAAGGTAATTTTACCATTTATTTTCCTGTTTAAGAAACTGGGAAAGTTCTAAAATAAACTACAAAGCGGTGGAGGGTAAGGGGCAGTGCCACAGACTTCCCTCATTCATTCTCCCAGTAAAGACACTCAATGTGATTTTTCTGTTGTTGTACAAGGCTCCTCCTATATGAAAGGTGTTTGCTTACAGGAAATGGGAGAGGCACTGGGTACAGATCTTCAGCAAACAAACAAGGAAAACTAAAAACTTTATCACTAGTTGCTAGGTAAATGTATTTATTTGCAACTTGCCTACATATAAATAAGGGCTCTCACACACAGTATCTTGAACTCACTTTTCTTTGGTAATGCTCACCAAATGGTATTTCTCTCCTAATACACTAGTAAAAAACATTTCCTTTCAGCTTTCAGTTCAGATGGCCAGAAAGTTGTCCTTTCTCCTAAATACTGTCCTATATTTGTCTTTTCGATCTTTCAGGAGAACATAACCACGATGGGACCTCGAACTGAGGTGCAATCTCACTGTTTAAGTGATTGAAAGGAGTGGGAGGACAAGGCATGAGAAAGCTAATCATGACAAAAAAAGTTTGGGATATTTTTTGAGAATTACCATATCGATGAGTTCCAAAAGTGTTTTAGAAGCACTTTTTCCCATACAAATATTTCATTCAATCAACAATGACATAATCATTTTATAAAAGGCAGTCGACTACCTTAGAATGTAGGAAGCTAATGCTATAACAACAAAAAGGGCACCAATGGTTTCTGTCTCTGGCATAAAGAGGTAGAGACCATCATCCCGTAGAAAAGATTAACAACAAACAAACAAATAATAAAACAAAACAACATCCCCTCAACACACACACACACACACACACACACACACACACACACACACACACACACACACACACCATTTCTAAAAGCTAGTTTTGGGAAACCAAGTTTTATTGCCAGGCTGGCAATTAGTCTGATTCAGAGTTGAGAGATCCATTGCCCACAATCATCTTGCTGTAGTTCTTTTGCTGCTCTTCCCTAAAAGTGTCCTTCACCTTTGCTCTCTTCAGCCCGCCATCCCTGGGAATAGAAAGGCAAATAAATAAAAGATACTTCCAGCAATGATTTAAGAGGGTTACCTATTAATACATGTTGCATGGTGCAAGATACTTAAGCAGATGGTCAACGATGGGGCAAAGAACACTGGAATTTGGTAGCAAAATGATCCAGATTCCAGTCTCTGCTCTACTACTTACCAGTCTCTGCTCTACTACTTACTTTCAGGGGGGAAAAAATCGCTCTGAGACTTGGTTGAAATAAAGGATAATATCTTTATTCAGTTTCTTTTTAGAAGTTAGGCTTCTATGTTCAATATGTAGACTCTACATTAAAACTAGGATTGTTTACCTACCTTTTTCCCCAAGGAAAATAAACTATTGTAGGTTTCTTTTTTTCATCTAATTGACCTATGTCTTACTAGAAAACCATATGGACGATTTAAAATATACATACAAGAAATGGTGAGGGTATTGCATATGTGTCGATAAATTCCTTGAAGATAAATGGATTAATTATTATTCAGATCTAATTCTATGTCTAACAAGTTGTATTTTCATTCACAGCCCTGTATTTTAAGTATTTATAATCTGCCGTATTCCAAAATAGACTCAGAATAAAACAGCAAAATAATAAGTTGCATTCAACCAGTAGTAAGTGCCTCTGTAAGCAGCATTCCTTAATTCAGAGCTCATGAATCTTTGAACTTGCTCCAGGGTGGTGAAAACACAGATCTGCCTGGGATATAAGGACTCTGAGTATGCCTCTCATTTGGAGAGCACAAAGACACAACAAACAGAAAGAGCAGGGAGGAGGCTGGACACTCTCTCTCCTAATCAAATGTTTTCAATTTTAACTCCCAGGAGAGCATGGATTGAGAATTTGCTTACTTTATTCTGTGCCGGTTTAATTTTAACCCACTTAAGCATGAATGTTTATCAAGTACTCTCTGATGGTCATGAATAAATCACAGGTTAGCCAGTGAACTCAATCCCATGAAGACATTGACCTACAAACAGACACCTGTTTGAGCCCACTGCAATATTCTGGCCTCTAGAGTCAAACCTAAGACACGGTCCACCAGTAGGTCCTCAACTTAAAAACAGATATTGGGCCACAAATCTTCCAGGAGGTCAGTTGTAGAAAATGTCCATGAAACAAGGTGATAAGTGTCATTAGGTCCCCGGAATTATCCACAGAAGCCTATTTTATCCAAATGAGCTGCCTCTAACTATTCGTAGCATTTAAGAAATAGTAAGAAGGAAAGGAGAGAGAGACAGAAGAAAGGCCATTCATTCCTCCTTTCCTGAAGTCCAGGCCAAAACTGGCAAAAGGTTGAAGTTAACAGCGTTTGCTCTTGAGCATCCTGAAGTTATTTTTATGCAATTCTCCTTCTCAAGCATCCAGCAAACCTCATACTACTTTAAACACCCCAACTGTGACTTGCCACCCCTGGAGACTAAAGTTACTTAGTTCCCCTTTGCAATGGCAGCAGATTTTGGTTCTTAAGGCAGGGAGCAGCCAGCTTTTAAAAGCCAGTTTAAGATGACATAATTAAGTTCTCTTCTAATCTAGGAGGAAACTGATCCAGATATGTTAATTCAGACCCGATGGGTGAATGACAAATACATCTAGAAAAGTAGTGAGTCTATTTTCTTTTTAAAGAAGAGGCCAGGTTATTAAAAGTAACCTTTTATTATAAAATTGCATATAGCCTGATAAAAAGAAATTGAAAATTTCTGAGGATCAATTTCTAAAAGATTTCATTTAAGCCAATCTGATCAGTGTCTATTCTGCAACCGACTCCCCTCAGCTGTTTTTGTCTCTCAAGGCATTCTTCCTTTCCTTGGTGTCTGAGGCTACTGAGCCAAAACTCAAAGCTTTTTATAATGGCTCAGGGCAGCAGCAGGGCTGGGATGTCAGGTAAGAGGAAAGAAGTAAAGAATAGGAAACAATGAACAAGAGAAAGGAAACCAGTTATACAATGAACATGGACTCCTTAGGGCATTTATAAACTAAGGCATTATAAATTAGGACATTGATAAGTCTATCATTTCAAGATGTTATGTTGTCTGTAATTTAGTTTCACATATTCCAGCTCAGAGAGTATAATACAAATGTTAGCCTCAACCTATCCTAACTCTAGTCTTGACCTCAGGGCCAATTAGTTGCCCTAAATCAAGAACTCACATTAGGGGTGGTAAGGCAGACATTTAATCAGAAGGCCACCATAAGGCTTCAGCTATCTTTCTCTCTCATCAACCTCCCAAGCTTTGTAAATTAGCATAATGAATTTTAGAAGTGGGTTTTCACTGTAGAAATTAGTGGCTTGTTAACTAGCATAACGGATGCCAGAACCAGGCTTTCCTGGGTAAAATTAGTTGTATTTGAAATATGTGAATGAGTAAAATATTTTAGAGACATTTCTCACTCTTGCATAAAGGAGAATAAGAATCAAGTTAGCCCTTTTTCCAGAGGCTTACTCCCTAAACAGTCTTGGGTTCCTCTGCGTGTTCAGAAGTTCTCAGTTACCTGGCTGATGGCCTGACTTTAATTTGCTTACTTTACTCCTCGAACATTGCTGCAATCGTCTCTGATAAACTTTTCATATAAAATGTTTTCAAAACACCAAAAAAGATAGACAGTAGAGACATCATTAAATTTATAGAACTTGAAGTACGGACTATTTCGCACCAGCTTGCTAATATAATGTCTGTGAATGTAGGAATTTAAGCTCCCATTATAATGTAGTCTAACCCTCTCCAATACATACTAAATGTTTGTTTCCCCCACAAAACTCCTATACTAAAGCTCTAATCCCCAATATGATGGTATCTGGAGATGAGGCCTTTGGGAGATAATTAAGATAAATTAAGATTATGATGGTGGTGCCCTCATGATGAGATTAGTGTTCTCATAAAAAGAGATACCAGAGAAGTGGAAGTGGCATGTCCAACTTCTAGCCTGTGCTCTTAAACACATGAGGTGTCCTTCTTGTTTTAATTCCTCCCTGTAGGCATTTGCTGAACATACAAGGTAGAGCTGGAGCAGCCATCTTGGACCATAACGTAGAAGCACATTCAGGATGGTAGAACAATACAGAATGAGCTGTCATGCCAATGTGGACTGCCTATGTTTAAATGAGAGAGATTAACTTCTATCTTATTAAGCCATTGTTATGATGTATAAACCTTGTCAAGACCACTACACCTCCAGATAACTAACATAATAAATAACATTATTAAAAGTTTTAACTAAAAAAAGTGATAGTACTTCTGAAAATTTTCTTACCAGGGAAGTTCAGTCAATCCTCCTTGTCTAGCAATAGCAGACTTAACCCTGTTAGCAAACTGGACCGCATCTTCTCCTTCCTGGAAAAAAATTACAAGTACATCCTGGGGATGGAGTCTTCATATAATGCCTTAACATGTCTCACAATCATTTAGATTTGTTTTAAAATATAAGATTCACATTTGAGCTCAAATATGTTCTATTCTCAATCACAGCAAATATTATTTATCAAGAAAATGCAGCGCCATATTAATTTTTTTTATCATGTATACATATTTATTATACTCTTTAGTCTTAGCCAAGATACAACATTCCATAATATTTGTAGGTTTAATAAATCCATATCAATTATAAAAACTATTATGGAAAAGAGTCTCCAAATATAAATTGGCCTGATTTAAAGAGAAGTACATTTTTAAAAATGGACTCATTTGCTGAGAAAGCAGAAAGGAAGTCCAGCTCTTGTTGATGTAAAAGGAAGACACCCAGGTTTTCAGTAAAGGTTTTCTCACCTTTATCTGATTAGATATAGCACCAAAGATCAGCTTTTATCAATGGCATACCTCTTTTGTCATGGGAGGCATGTACCACACGTCGCAGACTATGGCCCAGCTGGTCATCATTCGAAGCAGGTAGCTCACCATGTTGTATTTACTACTGTTCCAAAATGCATCACCAAACTGAGGATTATACTTTGAAAAGAGAGAAGAAAATGCATCCCAGTTATGAATTAAGTGGTGGCTTCTCTTATCCAAGTCAATGTTTTTGAGGTTACAGACCAACTTCAACCATTTCTATCAGACTCCAAGAAAAAGAGAAGCTTCTTTGCCTGATAGAAATGATCCAAACAGTAAACCGGTCCAGCAACCTTCTCTGACTAGAGCCCCAGAGCACTGCAACCCTGAGGGTGATTTACAGGACTCTGAAATGTCTGTCTCCCCACTTATCTGGAAGGTGGCTGAAAATAGTAACAGTATCTGTTTTGCTTATCACCTTGTCCTCAGTACTCAGGCACTGGCCTGGCACATGGTCCCCTAGTACATAACTATATACATATCAATAGAGACGGAGGAATGATCATGAAAAGGGAGCCAAATATTAACAACTGGAGAATATGAGTAAAGAGTATACAAGTGCTCCTTATTCTTGCAAATTTTTAATTTGAAACTATATCAAAATTAAGTTACCAAGTATCAACCCTTTTTTTATTGGAGGGGGAGGGGGACTCTGTTTTACCTTAATTGCAACTGGATATATGGTCCCTCCTATTTCAAAGCTTCCCTTTTTAAACATCATGACTGAAGTGTTATTGATGCAAGTTCCTACAGGGAAATGAGAGTAGGGGAAGAGGTGGTAGATATTTTTAAAAGCAGTCATTTTTTAAAACAAATTTTTAAAAGAAAAATAATTCAAATTATTCAAATCATATCAAAGTTATAGACATTTTACTACCATTTCACAAATCAATTCCTGCTTACGTAGTAATTCGACAGTTCTAAGCAGATTTAATAACAAACTTTTACTTTACTCTTGAATATTCTCCAGATACAACCTCTTCACAACAGGTGACTATTTCAACACACTTAAAATAAGGACCTTGAAAAACTTATGAACAATACTTTTCTAAATTCATTGCCCAGAAATAACTTCTAAGATCAAAATGTACCACGATTTCCATCAAACTCAAAAGAAAGCCCGGAATTACTAGCTCAGAGAAGGCCATCACATTCCCATAGGACAGCACAGATCTGGACCAAGAATGCCAACTGGAGAACAATCCAATTCCTCATACACTTTTGGTGCTTATCGTTATCAACTATCGCTTGGTAAGCAATCCCATCTTACCTTCAGGAAAGATTAATATGGGTAATTTTTTCTTATCAGCAATGTGTTCTTTTAGTCTGTGAAGAAAAATAAAGGATCGAAATCCTTTAAAAAGAGAGATATGGGAATCCTTTGGTACTCTTTACACTCTACTAAAACAAATATAATGGTAGAGCAATAAGAAGAAAAGAAATGATATATTATTATAAAATAATAATAATAAATAAGATATAAGTAAAGGAAATAAACTCAAGTTGATCCCTTTCTAAAAAAGTATAAGGATATCTGCACTATTTCATTTTTTCTCTTCTCAAAGTGAGTGACTTTCACTGCCTTCTGACTACTCTTAAAAAAGAATGCTAAGCAGTCATGTGACATGAGCTCTGGAGCCCCTGTGTCATAAGCTTTATGCTCTTCCTCTTGTACTTACATTTCCTTATTTGAAAAATGGGTTTATTGATTGCTGGACCTGTCTGCCTGTGGCCATTAAGTATAGAAGATTTCTCAAATGAGTCAGGCTGAATTTTCCTACTAAATATGCACCATAATGCTGAGAACAACGAAAGTTCTTCCAGGCTTAGGTCCTGTCCTCCCTGCAGCCAGCTCTATATTCCCAACTGCTCACCACAAGTTTGCAAGGCTGAGATAGAGAGATTACAGATGCCAGAGTATCCCATTGCTAAAAAATCTCAAGATAGTGGATAGATTTCTAACCTTAAACAGATTTCAACAAGTACTTTTAATTTTACTCTCAAGAGCATTGCCCATCTTCATGCTTATAGAAGCAGTGACCGGACAGCCTTCGATTAAAGGCCTCGGGCAAAAACCTGTTTCCTAACAAAGGTTTCTGGTAGCTCATCTCCCTCCCAAGCCCCAGAGGTTCCTTCCCCTGTTCCATAAAGAACATTAGCTCTGTCTGTCTCTATACAGATCTAAGTGATAACGGTCATTCAGCAAACACTTACTTAATCAACCATCTATTTATTCAGAGAACAGTTACCAATTATTTAATCTTCTAGGTAGTAATTTTTAACTTTGAAAATTCAAAATAATAGGACTATGCTTAAGTCACAGCAATATAAACTTCTGGGCCTTCTAATCTCATCATATACCCCACTATGTCTACAGAATTAACATTTTTAAAAATCTGGTTAAGACACATGATTTACCAGATAAAGCCAACCACAAATAGAGCTAAACATATTTTAATTTTAATCCTTAGTACCAACCACTCTCCCCTCTTTGGCAGACAGGAAGGCCAAGATTTATCAGATTTTATGCTACCCCAACAGACACTGAGTAATGTCACTGCTTACCTCTTAGTAACCTGGTGTCGATCCTTCATTTCTGAACGTTCAAACCAGACATGTGGACAAGCCTTGACCATAGCTCTCTGAATAATTCCCATCAATCCACCATGAACCTGGCCGACCTAGAAATACCACAAGAAAAAGAGAAAAATGTAAAAGCACAGCTGTCCAAAGAAAGTTTTTTGTGGTTTTTTTTTTTTTGAGTGGGAATAAATTTCTATTTCCCACCAAGAGAAAAGATTGAATTTCTTCTATTGACTAAAGTTCTTAGTCTGTATAAAGGACATGAATGGTCAAATATAAGCAAAAGGTGTTCTTTAGTGGCACCTTTGAATTTTAAGCTATGTTGCTATACTAACTATACTCTAGCTTTAAAAAGTAGTCAAGATAAGAGAAATGCAAATTAAAACTACACTAAAATATCATTTCTCACCCATCAGATTGAATTTATATGCAACAGTTTTAATTGCAGCATTTATTGTAATTGCTAGATATTAGAAACTACCTAAATGTCCAAATATAAGAAATTAGAAGAATAGACTATGGTACATACACCCAATGGAGTACCATGCATCTGGGAAAAGAACAAGGTTGAATTTTATGACTGGTAAGGAGTGATTTCTAGGATATATTATTAAGTTAAAAAAAGCAAATTGCAACAAGCAAATATAGTGTGCTACCTTTTATATAAGACAGAAGGGAAAATATACACATATATTGTTTATTTCCACAAAAAGAAAGAATAACCAAAACCGATGAGGTTGGAAACCTACATAGGTAGGAGGGAGTGGGAGACAATGAACGTGGGAGGGAGTGACACTTCTATGAATATGCCTTCTTTGGTTAGTTTTGATATTTGGAAGCATACTGATGTCCTAAATATTCAAAAATTAAATCAGCAAGGATGGGACTAGCAAACTGAAAGCAAACTGAAACAAATGAACCCAACCGTATTTCAAATGAATAAAAGAACAATACTAAAGGAAGAAGGGGGAAAAATCCAAGGAATTTATAAAGACAGTATTTGACCACACACCCAACATCTGGGACAAGGTTCCAAGAAGAACTGTAAAATACCTTAAATTATTTTTACAACATTTTTTTTGGTAATAAAACAAGTAAAGCAATTCTAAAACAATTTTGGCTGTATTATAGAATTGAGAAAAGGAATTCATATTGTTGGGAAATAGAATATTCACTGTGAAAAAAGGGAGATACAACTATGGACTGGGAGAAAGCAAAAAAGAACACTATGAATGAGATAAATTGATATAGACTCAGATTTCCAATGTTGTATCAATATTAGAAATCATATTAGAAATATTAAATATAAATTACGAAAAATATATTGCACATGCATTTTTATGTAGAGAGACAGAGAGAAAGCCAATGTATGAGAATGAAAATGATAAAGCAAATGGGACCAAATGTTACAATACGTAAATGTGGATCGAGGGCACATGGATGTTTTACACGACACTCTTACTATTAACGACTTCTCTGTAAATTAGAAAATGCTTCTAAAGTAAAAAAAAAAGTAAAAGTTTTTGTCTAGGAGGGAAAAAACAACTTTGAAAAGCCACTGAGAGTGAATCTTGAACATTCTTGAACATACAGTTTATGTTTAGCCAAAAGAGGCCAAATGTGACCGCCGAAATAGCAGTACAGTTTCCTCCTACTTCTGCCCTCCTGCCTCCGATTTAAATCCAAATGGCTTTAGGTTTCTATCATTCAACCCACTGGAATGTTCGTAGGTACTATGCTTTTCTACATTGTGGTTAATATTGTAATTGCAGTTATACACAATCAAAAAGCATGGAAGAGAGTTTCCAGGTTGGTGAACAAGAACCCGTCCACGGGCCACCAAACCAGCTTCAACGTCCATAAAGATAGATGCTCCTTTGTGCAGGACCTCACCCTAAGTCTCTTCATCTGGCTCTTGGTGTTGAACCAATGTTTCACATGCTCAGGTGATCAGGTTTGACCGCTGTAAGACCTTCCCGGGGTGGCGATAATGAGCAGTTCACCATCTTGCCCCTAAAGCACAGGCACGACCACCCTTACCAGGCAACATAGCTGTTAAGAAAGCCCGCAGTTTTGGAAGAGGAAAAAAAAATGGCATAGATAGAGGCTCTGCTCTGTTCATCTTTCTGGCGCCCAAATCAAAGTTGTGACAGAAATAAGGAGCAGCAGCAAGGAAAACTCACTTGAGATCTAGATAAACAAGCCATACAACTAGGGAGAAATCCAAGAAATCACCCTGCAATGGCAGAAGGTAGGACGGGGCGAGGATGCGGGGCTGCTCGGTCTCCAGCGCTGAGGAGGCAGGCTGCAGAGCGGCAGATGCCTCTTAAAGGGGCCGTGTCCGCAAGCGGATTTTCATGGTGATGGACCTGCTCGCTCTGAGCACCAGTGCCAATTCGGGGGCACCAGGGACTTAAAGGGAGACATTGTTGAGTGAGGGCCGAGGTGAGACTCGCTCTGTACAGAAGTGCCAGCGGTATGCATTGTTCCTTGTTGAGCCCTCCCCACTACCAGTGTGCTGGACACAGTGCCGCCATAGCCATAACTCATCGAACTGGATAACAGAGGTCGCTCTGCCCAGAGGATTCCCTGAAACCTCGCCTACCCCAACCATATCCAGGTATATCCTCAGCGAGTCATGTGCTCCTTACTGAGCAGTGCCTAGACTCACACTGGAGGCAGCTGGCCTCGGTTTCTGGTGTGGCCTTTTGAAGGAACTATAAGCACAGCATCTGTGGATTGCTTGCTGAATCTTAACAGATGGTCATGGAGGGGCAGAGGACTGGGCTAAATTTGGCCTGCAGCTGAACCCCTCTCAGGACTGTGCCACTGGACACCTACTTCACAAATCCACACTAATAAGACCGGGAGACTTAAGAGCTTTGCTTAGTACATAGAAACAGACACGGAAAGGCAGCCAAAATGGGAAGACAAAGAAGTAGAAACCATAAGAGAGAACAGAACAGAGATCCAGATATAATGGAGTTAAGTAATCTAACAGATGCAGAGTTTAAAACACTGGTTATAAAGATGCTCAATGAACTTTTAGAAGTATAGAGAACTTCAACAAAGAAATAAAAAACAAAAATAGAAATGGAAATTATAAAAAGGAACGAGTCTGAAATGACGAACACATTATCTGAAATGAGAAGTTAAATGGAATAAACAAAGGAATAAACAAAGTGGATAAAAAAGAGGATCAAATGCCCTATCTAGAGGATGGGATAGCCAAGGACACACAATCAGAATGGCAAGAGAGAAGATGCTAAGACTATAAAAATAATTTAAGGAGCATATGGGACACTAATAAGGCTCCAAAAATCCATCTGGTTAGTGTACCTGAAGAAAATCAAGATGTCGAATAGCTGTTTGAAGAAATAATGATGGAAAACTTCCCTACCTGGTGAAGGAAATGGACATAAAACTCCAGGAAGCTCAGAGAATTCCAAAAATCAGGGATCTAAAGAGGCCCACACCAAGACACATCATAATTAAAATGCCAAAGGTTAAATACAAAGAAAGAATGATTTCTCAAAAGAAACTATGCAGGACAGAAGGGCCTGGCAAAAAATATTCGACAGGATGAAGACCCAGGATCTACAACCAAGAATAATTTATCCAGCAAAGGTATCATTTAGAGTTGAAGGACAGATAAAGAGCTTCCCAGACAAAAATAAGCTAAAGGAATTCATCACCATCAAGCCAGTATTACAGGAAATGTTGGAGGGGGTTCTCTAAGAAGAAAAAACATGTATCAAAAACAGCAATAAAGAATGGTAACAACTACATTCCTATCAATAAGTACTCAAATGGGAAAGAATTAAGTGCTCCAACTAAAAGATAGATTGGATGAATGGAAAGGAAAATAAGACCCCTAAATGTTGCCTATAAGAGACTCACTTCAGATTAAAAGACACACCTAGACTAGAAGGAAGGGGAAGGAAAAGATATTGCTTTGATGGACCTAGAAGTAATTTAAGTCAGACAGAGAAAGATAAACACTACATGATTTCACTTATATGAGGAATCTAAGGAATAAAAAGAACAAACTAATCAAAAACAGACTCACAAATATAGTGGACAATTTGGTGACAGACAGAGGGGAGGGAGGTTTGGGGGACTGAAGGGGTGAAGAAGAACAAATCAGTAGCTGATGGATGGTCACGGGGATGGGGAGCACGGCAGAAGGAATGCAGTTAGCATTAATATGTTGGCTAGGTGGAGGGTCAGGGGAGGGAGGGAGCAATTGGGAGAATCGTTAGAACTGCCAATTCCCATGTCTATTGGTTAAAACTTCCTTAGATTCAGAAAGAGCCCAACTTAGAGAAATTTTAAAATGTGTTAAAATGTGGTTGCCCATGAGTTATGTATCTGAACTTATATTTTAGACAGATTGAATACCTGGCAGTAAGTGAGAAGTTTTTACAAAGGTCTTCGAAACCCTCTCAGTGATTGTATGACCCATGGATAGTCATATACCAGCAGGAGCGCCGGAACTTCCTACTCTCCTCCCTACAGCAGACACTTAATCAATAATGGCTCCCTTTCTATACCTTCCCAGAAAAGCACACTTGACCATGACTATCAGTCACTGAAGCTGACAAGTGAAAAAGAAAAATCCATCTGTTCCCCCTGAAGCCCAAGCTACCACCATGAGATATGAAAAGAAGATTCTCCAGGATTCCCTCTATCATACTATCTCACAGATCATAAGGCATATCGACCACCACAGGAAAGGACATTTTTAATCCATAATTTACCTGACTCAGACCTAAAGAAGGTAAAGGAAACCTTGACAAGTTTTTAAGGGCAATAGAAAACACAGATTAGAAAAAAAACTGGAACGTGGTTCATCCCATGAAAAGGTCTTTTGAGGTGTTTGATTTTACTGTGGGCTTTATGGCTTGTTGTAGTGTTTTCTTTTCATTTCTTTCCCCTTGGGGCTGTAAGCAAGAACTAAGAAAGGCAATGTGGTATAAATATTTGCCTTTTTTTCTTGATGTTCATTATAGAGCCAGATTTTTTTAATCGTATATTACTCCCTAAAGGAATACAGAACTAACTATCTAGTAAGCGATCTGAACAGCACTAAGGAAGAAGACTTTAATGTCTCAGAGTGTTATTAAACATCTTAGGGATTTTAGAAGTAAAATGGAATCAACTTTATAAAGTCCTATCAAACTTAAGTATATCTACATTTCAGTAAGGTAAAATTTTTATTACCTTAAATATAATGGCTATTTTCTTCCTTTTTCTTGCACTATATAGTTTCATGTAAATATATTACATAACATATAGCTACAATAGTATAACTCGGTCACTTTCTAACATAAAACTAACTTTCTAACGTGTGCCAAAATAAATTAAGTTTGAGCAATCCACAGAACATAGAACTCCTTAAAATATCACTGAGCTGATCTTACCATGGCATAGCATCCATCCGTTGTCAAGATCAAAACATCTATTGGAGAGGTATGGTTGGCAACACAAATGCCTCCCTTCTGGGGTCTGTATTGCCTGCAATTATAAACAATGGTAAACACTAAACTTTGAAAAATGGCCACTATTTGGCAGAACAGCATGTAGAGGTTTCATTCTGTTTAAAAAATTCCATTAAACAAATAAAGTTTTGATGTAAATGGGCCCATCTTAAAAAGGTTATCTCTAGGCTATAATGCTGGAGTTGGGGTAAGAATATAGGAGAAGAAGCCCTTGATCTTCCCTTTACATAATTATGTTGTTTTCAGTAATAATCATATTTTCCTTTTATGATAAAAAAATAATTTTAAAATATTAGACTGAATTACAAAGATTCCACAACTTTAATAAATTTTGTGATATGTAAGTTTCATTTATTTTGTCATATTTTCATATTATTTCTACCTTCATAAGCATCACTTTTAGAGGCTTCATACTGATCCACAGAATAAATTTAATATAGTTTCCTTCCTCTCCCCTATTCCCCTAAAACAGAGGTTGGCAAACTTTTCCTATCAAAGGCCAGACAGTAAATATTTGGGGCTTTGCAAGCCAGCCAATTCCTGTCAAAACTGCTGGACTCTGCTGTTTTGGCACAAAGGCAGCCATGGATAACATGTATATGAATGAGCATTGCTGTGTTCCAATAAAACTTTATTTACAAAAAACAGATGGCAGGCCCCATTTGGCCTATGGGTCAATAGTTTAGTTTGCCAATCTCTGTCTTTGAGTTCAACCAATATTTGACACTAATGAAGTAGTTTTCTTTGGGCCTATACAGAGAAGAAAGGGGAACAAATGTATAACAACTTTAGCATGTGTCCTCTAAAATTAGAAGCAATTCTATAAAAAGTTATAAACTTCTCTCCATGTAATTAGAGCACCTTTTCTGTAAAAGATATCTCCTCTATTCACACTTTTACCAAAGCATTTTCTTCTACTCCTCACCCCAAAATTCCTAGCCTAATCACAAAAATCATAGAATTTTAGAAAATAAGGGGCCTTTGATGTTAGTTAACACATGGAAAAGCCAAATGATAAAATGTTTCCCGTCTACAAATGAGACAGAAAGATCCAGTCAGTAAAAAATAGGCCTGTTTTAGAGCTTATAAAACAACGATGTTAAATGTAAAAAGAATAAACAAATAAAATTATTTAATAGAAAATAACTCAAAAACAATCAAAACAACTTCTACTTAGGTAATAACTTCATTTAGCTACCTTTATCCTCTATGATTTAAAATGTTGTGTCCTGTTGCAAGGTCCTGTTACAGAATTTCAGAGATGGCAGGACTGAGACAGGAAACCAGGTCTCCAGACCACAAAGTCTAAACCCTGCCACCCCACAACAGGCCTGTCACCTTCCTCATTGCTTAAGTCAGACAGGTCCAGTTCAAAATCTGCCATGTACTAGCTACATGACCCTAGACAACTAATTCCAGAGCCTCCATTTCTTCACCTATAAAACAAGATAACAGCACCTCTCATACAGATGACCTGTGAGAAGCACAGGCCTGGCCCACATACCATAAATGCCCATTACATGTTTACTAGTATGTTCTTTCTGTAAATGGATTGCTTTTTAAAAGTGTTTCTGTGCATCGTTATGTCTATGATGCTGTAAGCAGTAAAGGCGAACACAGAGGAAGGACTGTTATTTCACCTGCTTCCTCCCACCCACTTCTGTCAATCACATACTGGATTTACCTAGAGAAAGGCAGGCGTGAAGCCAGCAGACACTCACTTGTTGTGATAATGAATGGTACCAGAGAGGGCTCGCACACAGATCCGGCAGCAAGTCAGGTGGACCAGTTCACTCAGCCAGTTTTTGAGGCTGAAGGAAAGAGAAAACATTTTATTGTGCAGTTCTAGGCACTCCTAAGAAACAGTACAGTAAAAGCTTTAATGTGCTCCTTCACAGCAGCATACTGTGATCTGAAACACAAGCACAGTTCAGTTCTTACAGTCTCGCTAAGGCATTTAGAACAAAACGCTAACTGAAAATAGCTCCCTCCCTACTTCTAAGATAAGCTGGAGCTTCTTTGATCTCAGTCTTACTAGCCTGACAATACTAGAGGACTCTCTTGCTTTCCTCAAGTTCCTCAGTCCATTTTCTTTCTTCTCTTTCTTTCTCCTTTGAAAAAAACATCTTCTTACGATTTAAATGAAAGTATGATGGAAAATCAAATAAAGACTAAGAATCTGAAGTAAGCAGTATTTTAACAAGCGTGTTGAGGTCATAAATTGGATGAAATACACAGGAATCAAACAAATATTCTCTTTGTGGACACAGCTAAGAAAAGAGACAAGCCTGTTTTGGCCGAGTGGAAGGAAACATTTCACCTGCTATCTGGTAGCTGCCCAACCAGTGTAGTTCCAATAACCAACAAACTGATCCCAATGAAAGCCAAGGTTACCCTGAAAAAGAAAAGGTAATGCAAAAGTTTGGTTGAATAGTAGGGGTAAAGGAATATAACCTAAAAAGTTCATAAATAATGAAATAGTAAATAAGTTGTGCGGCATCACATTATGGAATATGGTGCAGCCATTAAAAGAATTGAGTAAATCTGTAGATTCTGACATGGAAGAATGGTCCTTGGTACATTTTGAGAGAGGAAAAATGCAAAGTTTCAAAATAATATATAGAGAATGATACCATTTTCAAAATAACAGCAAGCATATAACTAGTCTATAGATGCCTAGAGAAGGCCTGGAAATTGGTTCACAAAACTGTCAAGTTCAATCTATATAATCATCAGAAGATTAAGCAGGCTCGTGAAGGGAATAAATCAAAAGTCGTCCCTTCTACTTTTCTTATTTTAATTGTTAAATTAAATTTTAAATATACATATTAACTTCTTGTATAACATGAGAAAAAAGTTTTATGTTGTATAAAGGAGTTGTTTCAAGTTTAAGTAATCATCTTTTTTTTCTTTTTTCAGGTGTTGCGTGATATAGTTGTAAAAGGAAATATCTTGCAAAAGTCTGAAAATAATTTGTTTTTCTGTGTTTTTTAATGACGAGGCAAAAAAGGTACAATTCAAATTTTTCTCAAAGGAGTTTAAAATTTATAGCAAATGACAAAAAAGTTATAAGTTAAAGGCGCTTTCATAATAAGAGCATCAAATTATATCACCATGTAGGAATCCTATAAATCAAATCTAACTTGTCCTTTTATATGGTTCAAAGTAACTTGGAAATTAGTAAACCAGATGACTGATAATACTTATGATCTCCACATAGACACTTTCTCATTTTTGAAAAGTGCTTTTAATATACCTTCCAATCACTCCAAAACAAAAGTCATTTTTAGAAATATAAATAGAATTATTCAAAGAAAAAGTTGAGATTTTAAATCTTTTCAAATAAATAGGGCTTCCTTATAAATACCTTGTTAAAATTCTTGGTTTAACACCTTTTGGCATAGTGATTTGAAAGTCAAGTTCAGTTTTCTTTAGATGCCATACTTTCAAGTCAGTCACTGATTAGAAGTTTTTAATCTCAGCCATCAATTATGCAAAAGTTTTAAAATGTTTTGCCTTCTTGCCCTAATAAGAATTACTTGTTCCAACACATTAAATCAGAAGGGATTACATTTTAACATGTTTAACAACTGTGTTCAAAATGATTGGAAGTTTTTATTTGCTAGATTAACAGGCCAGAAGATTCTGTTTCCCAGTTTAAGTGAGCCAACATGAGAGTTCTCACAGATGACTTAAGGTTTCAGCCACAAACTGTTTTTTTTTTTTAAGAGCTTTACTGAGCTACAATTCACATATCATAAAATTCACCCATTTAAAATCTAAAACTCAGTGGTTTTAGGCATATTCACAGAGTTGTGCAACCATCAACACAATCGGTTTTAGCACAATCTGTTTTTAAATGCTCACTTTGTAGCAGCTCCTTTTAAAAACCATTCACGAAGCAATTCTTTCATAATGAAAAGTACACACTAAGAGGAGGAGTCTCAATTCTGCCACTTCCTTTTTGTTCTTGGGCACTTACACTATTGGGTTATCTTAAATCTGTTGTTGCTTTGCAAGAATCTTTTATGTCACTATCTATCTTGTGAGCATTAATTTAGTTTAAACTAGATAACAGAATCATAATACTATTTGCTGGGCACCCATGGCAGGTGAAAACTAACCGACAGTAATCTGTGTTGTAAAATCCACACTGTTCTCTCAGGTTGCCTTGGATAAGGTGCCTGCTCCATGGACCAAGTGGAGCTATAAGAGCAATCTATATATTCAATTTTTCTGAAGTTTTATTTCTTGTTAAGAATAAAAACAGAATAAATGGAAGCTTTAACTATAAATAGACTAGAAACATCTAATAAATAAAAGCTCAAGTATTTCTTGCACACCAATGGCCTTGGGCATCCCCAGAGTTACATGAACCCCACTTTGGGAACATTGTCTTAAAATTCAAGCAAAAATGTATGTGAAACCCTGAATTTCATTTTGTTATCACAGCTGAAACAATTCCCAAAAGATGTACCATGCTCCAACATCTAGACACTGGCAACATGAGCATAAGGAAATAGAAAGAGCTTCTTAAATATGTGCCTTTGCCTATACTTAAGCAATCTCTTCCCTTGTAATAAATCTGAATGAGGCAAGTATAGGCCATCCTAGAGATGGTCAAGGGTTTCCAATTCATGTGTCAATTTTATTGGCTGGTAATAACTGCTTGAAAAGCTCTACTGAGAGGATGCCAAGGCCATATCCAGGGAAATGAAGCAAGACAATCGAGAGTGATGTCGTGACATGCTTACTACCTGCTACCATCATGCTAATAAGACCCTGGTCACTTGCACTTTATCCCACTACCCGGTGTCACCTCTTCTACTCCATGTTCCACACCATAGTTCCATTCAACTGGGCTTGAGGGTACCTCTTCATCAGGTGGCTCTCAAACTCAGAACCAAACTTAGTTCCCAGGTGGGGAACTTTTAATAAGAAAAGTGAGCGATTATAACAGAAATGAATGAAACAAATTTACTCTTCTGAATGTGTCTCTCCCATGTGGTAACCACTCCCAGAAATTTTTTCTTCCCTCTGTAGCTATGAACTGCTACAGACCAGAAAGAGAGGAAGTTATAGTTTGGTTGACACACAGGTGAATGTGAAACTGTAAATCCTCTCTTCTTTTTTCTGGCTGCCCTTTTCTCATCCTCAAATTATCTATGACTGAAAGAGTAACATGGATTCAAAACTGATATATACTGGATTCTGAATACATACCTTCATTTAGGAAAAAATGTGAAAGTAGAATAGATACTTAATACTGTCCTAGAAAGGTCACATTTGGTGGTATTTTCTAAGTGGAAAGGAGTGAGATCAGTACCATAATATTCTCATGTGGCCATTTTTTAAATGGCCACATTCATAACTTTAAAAGAAAGCTGAACCAATTGTGTCATCAGAAATGGGCAGGAGGCGTACCTCAGAGGTAGTAGAACACAGTAGCGTACCATGACACCTACTACCCACACCATGGTGAGCCGTGGACTGATGTACTGGAAATTGATATTGGTCCTTGTAAGGAGATTCCATGAAACTAGCTCCTCTGAGGAGAACCTCTGGGTCACTTCATCTTCCACAATGGCTTCCAATCCCTTCTTGGAGAAATAAAACACGTCAGACAGCTCAAAGTCCCTTCCTCGCAGACCAGAGAGCCCTTTTTCCATGGGTGACTCATCTCTTTGGATAATACCTTAAAAGAAAGCATCAGGACATAAGAAAATGCTATAGGACATAAGAACAACTAACCAAAGGGGCAACTGTGCAGAAGACAGTTAAATAAATTTAATGGGTAACAGATTTCAGAAATAAAAGACAAGCAACTACAAATGGGAAAAGAGGTGAAATCACTGAGTCTGCATGAAATGGTCTCTACCCAATGATTTCAATTCATTACTGAGGAATTTCGGTCCTCAATAACCCTCTTGCTTGTATTTCCTCCTACACCCCATTAGAGAAAGAACTCACAGAAACAAATTCTCCCCAAGTATAGATCTAGATTGTGTAAAAATAAAGACTTCTCTTTTCCCCTTATAAAAACCATAAAGCCAAAAAGCAAGCAAAATGGCAAAAGGTATTTACCACAAATGGCAAACGGTTGATGTTTTTTAGTATATAAAAATTAACTAACAAGAAAAACACAGGCCCCTCAGAAAAGTAAGCTAAGTTCATGAACTAAATTTGCAGAAGAAATATAGTTAATAAATTTATTAAAACCTTTTTATTAGTAAATCAAAGATGTGAATTAGTCGAAGACTGGCCTATTTCATTATCAAATCAGCAATATTTTTGTTTAATGATAAATTTCAGTGACAGAAATAATACAGGTACCCTCATATTCAATTTGTATGAGTGTGGAACTAATAAGAATTTCATCAAAATCTACCATGAGGAAACTAAATATAGTTTTGATAATGATTCAATAATTCCAATTCTAGGAATCTGTCATAGAAAATAATCAGAAATGTAGGCAAGAGTTTCACTGTAGCATTTTCATTATAACTGATCCAGACTATGAGATATAATACACCCATTAATAAGTAATGTTAAGTGAAAAAGGCAAGATCTAACACTATATAGTTTAACTCTATAAAATATATGTATATAGAGAAAAAAATGTCAAGAGGAAACATGAAGTGGTTATCTCTGGGATTAGATGTTCCTCTTTATACTGTTATTGTTATTTTCCATAAAGAAAATAATTCAAAGATTTCTAAAGTAGTATAACATAGCATAAAGTTCTAACTAAATAAGAATAAAAGATGAGAAGATCTTCGAAGAATAAAGAGTAGCTATATACACGGTGATGTGACCATACATTTGTCTTTCTGGGGTCTGTTACAAAGAAATTCACTTCCTACATTAGAAAAGTTTTTTCTTTTGAGTTGGAGATTAAGCTGTTAAATTCCCTGAAAGAAGATCCCCTTTCATTTTTTCACTTCTCAGGTTCCTAGGAAATCAAAGAGGAAAGTGGAGAATGCTATAAGATTCATTCTCTGGAGAACTTGTGTGTACATCCATCTAAGGAGCTACAGTGTACCAGTTTTCTTGAAGGAATGGCAGCATAATGCTCTTGAGTAGAAAGTTATAGAGGACCTGGAGTCCAAAGTCAAGTTCTGTTTAGGACAACCACCAGCTTCTGACTGTGGCTAATAGATAAGTCACCTAACTTGGTGTCCTCCTTTATAAAATGGGGGGAGGAAATAGAGAAAATCTTTATTTTCTTTCAAAGCTAAAGTTTTATGATTTTACTTTTGAGATTTTTTAGGGGTATTTGGGTTTGGTTTTGGTTTTGGTTTTGGGTTTTTTGGCCCACATATAAAGCTAATACCTAATCGCCTTAAGAATTAGCACAATAAAGATCTTGAATGATCTTTTTCAATAGTTAAGACGAAGTGGATTAACCTTTCTCCACCATCTTTGAAAATGTTTAATTAGTATTAGAGGATGAACCAAAATAGTCTCACTACTGAAATGCCCTCTTGGTCTTGGCACTGCTATTCCTCTTACAGCAAGTTACTCAATTCAAGTACTGAACAATATTTAACAGTACAGTTTCATTATTTAGCAATATATCAATTTTTTTTTAATCTAAAAGAGGAGAGAAGAACAAATTATTAAATCTCTGAATGAAACACACTGGAGACAGTGGGAAGGACTTCTAAAAATAACCTTTTTCAGAGGGGCCAGAGATAAAAATGCAAGTTCAAGTTGCCTCATATTATTTAATGGAGCCAGGAGAGAAAAGACTTGCAAGCAGAATCCAGCCCCCTAGCCTCTACACATTGATGTGCAATATTTTCTCTGCCCCCTGACCTATTTTATTCTGGGTAACTCCAATGAAATATAACTCAATTTTATATTTTTGTTAAGCCTCTTTCAAAAGTATGTGGTGCAAAGCACCTAACTGATAAAAGATTAATTTCCAGGATATATTAAGACATACAGAAAATTAACAAAAAAAAAATTAAAGAACCCAGCCCCCCCCCAAAAAAAAATTGGCTAAGAATACGGCAAGTAGTTCATAAAAATAGTAAGTCTTAATGACTAAACATTTAAAAGATGTTCAGCTTCACCATAATGAGAGAAATGCAAACTAAAACCCCAATGAGATACTATTTCATACCCATAAAGACTGATAAAAATATCAAATTGAATAATATCAAGTGTTGGTGAAGATTTGAGACAATGAGAACATAATTAGCACAACCACACTCAAAAACAATTTGGTACTGTCTAGTAAATTCCAAGATATCCATAGCCCAAGACCCAGCAACTCCACTCCCAGATATACTTCAGGAAGATTTTTATTTAATAATTTCCAATATATAGAATAGTTGCAACAATAGTTCACTTCACCCAAATTTACTAATTAACAACATTTTGACACACTTGCTTCATTGTTCTATCTCTGTATGTATTAAAAGATACTTTTTCTGAACCATTTGAGAATAAATTGCAGACAGCACACCCTTTTCCCCAAATATTTCAACAGAGATTTTCTTAGGACACAGAACTTCACTTATTTAATCACAGTACAATTATCAAAATCAGGAAAACTTCAGTGATTGACATTACCACAATACTAGTATCTGATCTACAGTCCTTAATCAAATTTTGAAAATTATCCCAATAATATCTTTCATAGGATATTTTGCTGGTCCACGATTCAATACAGGATTACACATTACATTTATAGATCAAGTCTCTTTACTCTCCTTTAATATGGAAAGGCTGCCAGCCCTTCTTTGTTTTTCAAGCGTTGACATTATTTAAGAGTATAAGCGATTTATTTATTTATTTAGCCATTTATTTTGTAGATGTCTCTTAATTTGGGTTAATCTGATATCTCTTCATGATTAGATACAGGTTGTACACACTTTTGGCAGAAATGCTGAGTAACTGATGTTACATCCTTCTCAGTGCATCATGTCAGGAGGTGCGTGATCTCAGTTAGTCCCATGACTGGCAACATTTAACTTTGATCAGTTGAAGGTACTTAGTGCTTACTGGTTTTCTCCACTGTAAAGTTACTGTTTTTCTCTTTTTTATTAATAAGTAGACACTTATTATCTATAACTATCTGTAAAAGAGAGATACTTTGAGACGATGGAAATATCCTGCTCCTCAAACTTTTATGAAATAGTATTAGCATCTATAGTGATTCTTGCCTGAATAAATTGGGACCGTGTATCTTTTAAAATAATATTTTCTCACTCCTTCATTCTTTCCACACTTATTATTTGGCATTCCACCTTAAGGAAGATCTTTTCACTTATACTCTAGAGAGATTCTTATAAAATTGTGCACAAGTAGACATATATAACTTTTTGCTATACTGTCTGCAATAGCAAAATAGAAGAATCAAATTAGATAGATGAACAAATAGCAATACATACAAATATTGAATCATGTTATTCTAATTGTTACATGACATTTTTATCTCAAATAAATGAATAATAAAAGGCAGCTCATATTTAAAAATGGATATATACAGTACATCCTACACAGGAGTTAAAAGAAATTAACCAGAACAATTACCAGCTTAGATATTATATAAACATCAGAATAAACAAACAACTCAGAATGGAAAGAGGTATTTTTATAGAGTTTGAATAATGCAAAAAGTACAATGTATTATTTAAAGATACATACATGAATAGGTGAAGTATGAAAACATGCACAAAAATCATAAACACCAAAATCAGAGTAGTAGTTTGAAGGATTGGCAGGGTAACGGACTCAGGGAGGGATGCATGGGAGAATTGGATTGCTTCTGTGAAGTTTTATTTATTAAACTAAGTGGTAACTACAGAGGTGCAATAACAAAGAAAAATCATTACATGGAACTGACAGTTGTTCCTAAGTTGAAGATCTCTACTGTAAGAGAGCAGGTAACAGTTTAGAGCAAATCTGAAAATGGGTGTTATAAAATTAGATGTCAAAAGAAGCATGACTGAATAATGTTACTTCCTTCCTGAAATATATTGACTATATTGACCCTTAAGGGTCAGAATGACTGAGTATAAACTTCTAACAGGAAAAAAAAACTATTTAATTCAGTCAGCATATAGGGGACACTCACCATGTATCAGGGATCAAAGTACAGAAAAAGTGGATATATTTCTTTTGGCACCAAGAAACATTCATAAATGGACCAACAGTCTTCAAAATATAGATATAAATACATATCAGATTTAACTAGCACAGACCCAATTTTGATATTGGTTTTTATTGTCATTAAAGAAATCCAATTATTATTAATGAATTAATCATCCTTATCATTCAGAGCTACTCACAGTTCTTAAATTGGTAAAACACTGATTCTAGAAAATATTTCCTTTGTTTCACAAGTCAGCTTTAAAAAAATAAAGCCATAATAAACATTTGAACTTTGTCCTTATACCAAATGCTTTGCCCAACACGACAAGGTCCATGCTCGGATAAAAATAAAATGAGAACAACTATCTCGATATAATGAAAGCGATTAATTGCACAAGCTGCCCTGTGTCCCTGTGCCTTTAGCAAGTCACTGGTACATAAATAATACCAGCTATGAAAGGCCTATTAAAAGAAATTAAGGCTGAAGTTAAAACCATCTCAAATATAATTAACTCTAAATTAGCTGAGTGAATTCTGGAAATAACTGCCCATTTATAAATCACACTAGTTTTCCCATTCTCCAGTTGTAAA